GAGGGCGACCACCGGTCATAACATCGATTTCGTCGAGGAAGGCGAGCGTCGGAAGCTCGGAGAAGAACAACGAGCGGCGATTTGATTTGGGCGATTTGGGGGATAGAGTTCAGAGAATTTTATTTGATCTCGTGTTTTTTGTAATGTAAAGGATTCTCTTTATTTTTCATTTATTATTCTTAAGAAATTTTTCAATTTATAAAATTTAGCTGTATTTTATTTTAAATTTCAATGCTTTTATTATGGCGAGTTACATTAGTGTTTTTTATTAACTTAGGAATATGAAATTAACCAAAGACAACGTTTAGCACATTTCACTAAGGACCTTATAAAGTTTAGGACTTACTATGCAGACTATCCAAGGCCGTCCACAGTTCAATTACTAAGTACAAGGCCCTGACCTGAGCATAAGTTGAGCCCGTGGGCGGACGTACGCGTGTGTGGTTGAAGCTATCATTAACACTTGATGCATATCTTTTATTGGTGTTGTGACCTCTCGATAAAATTATTTGACTCTTCGAATCCCACAATCAACATTTCTACGTGTCAATTAATGACTATCTTTAATAATTAATTTCTCACTCACTGAAAATCAATTTTGAAAAAATAAATAAACTATGAGTATCTACTCATAATGTAAAATTTTTTATATAATTTAATTCAACCCGGATTATATATTTAGCTATAAAAAATCACTCAAAATTGAACACACGTTACACGTCTCTAACTCAACCCTAATCATCTGCATATCATGAAACATGTATGTGTTACAAGGAGAGATTGGTACGCAATACGATAATAGGTACGGAGCTGGAGGGTATTTCATTAAAAATGAATAAAAACGGCTTAATTAGATAGATAATTACAACACACTTATTTACATGTGATCAAGTAGGATGACGATAGCCATGGCGAGTGAGGGGTCAAAATCAAGGCGTTGAAGCAACTGGAAAACATCGGCACCAAAAGCGAGGCCTTTGACACAACTTTGTTTGAGTTTCAGCTCTGCCACTCCCCTCTCGCCGTCATACAAAAAACCAGGTGCAACTGTCCATCTTCTGTACATTCTGCAATTTTAATGAAAACAATTTTAGATATATTA